AAGCAGCAGCGGTGTACTCTAGAAAAAACTGGCGATTATGCAATAAAAAGTCACTAAATGTATGCGTGTGAAAAGTCATCCATTTTAGTGTCAACAACATTCTTCTTATAGGAGTCTCTAGAAGCTGTCATGGTTCCTATGGGGTTAATTATGTGAGACAAAGCAGCAGAAACTCTTTTCCCACAAGACACTTTGACAGACTGGCTTTACTGCAGGACACATAACATAAAAGTGTCAGCTGAAGTATGGATGTCCCAGACTCATGAACCATTGTGTTCATTTTACTTGAATGCAATGGTTCTTGTGCAGCAATATCTTGTGACTTCAATGTTTTAAAAGATATACCGTGGAGAGATAGATGTATTTTGCAAAGTGCTTTTTACCATGACTGAGCACCAGAGGTCAAACCTGATGAAACCCATGGTTCACATGGTTCATACAGTGTTAGACATGTTTATCCCTGTGAAAAACCCCCATCTCCTAACAAAGGAGTCTGGACTGTGTCGAGAGACGACAGACAAGAGAAAGTCAAAGCGAATCAGACAACGGTTTGTTTATATCAGTGAGTGGAAGCAGATGGTAACAGCGGTCTCACTTGTAATAAACTAAAAGGAGCTAAACCCTGTTGGTGGCAATCTGATGTAGGACAAGTAGTGCTTCATGGCACTTTGAGATATAAACACTCAAACATATTCACCGAGACCCAAAAACACAAAAATATAGTTTCAAAACAGATTCAGATTGACAAACATTATCTCAATCAGCAGTGTTGGTATAAAGTTGATTATTAAGATTCATCTTTCTCACGGTTATACAGCTTTCATTGTTTTACAGTTCTCTTTAAAAACATGGATGGTCCTCCTGATATTATGCATCACTGGTGAATCATTCATCTTTGTCATCAGATTGCTATCACACACTCTTTTCCAAAGAAGTGAAAAGCCTCCTCCCACAGAGATTGAACCTCTCCTTTATGAGCAACATGTAGACACATGTAGAAGTTTTGCTCTCCTATTCTCTCCAGTTATATTTTATCTGTATGTTTTTATCTCAGTTTATGTCTGTTCCCACCAAATCCAAGGGAGGCAGAGAAAATTTGGTTTGCAAATCGCCGGGGGCATTGAGTTGAGCTGTCGAGGTTACAGCACATGGAGGCATGTGAATGGCTCTCCAGACGAAACCTATCTATCCCTGAACCATAACTTGTCCTGCTCCTATTGGCTGTTGTGTGATTCTGTTAATGATGCCAAAGGAGCATTACATCAGCCACAGCGGCGAGGGGAGTGTCACAGAGACCTTGACAGCTCTGCACTAGTGTGCAGCCTGCAGGTGCCCCTAATGGGAATAACACCATGTTCTCACAACTACGGGCAAATAATCAAAACTAGAGATATGTTGCAGTCAGAAGCTTTCAAGACTAAACATGCTACTTTTCTGTGCTGCCACTTCAACAGCCTGTTTATCAAGAGTTGTTTAATTCAACAACTCACTGAACAGTTGAGGAAAAATATTGTGCTCTCAGCTCTGATGTGCAAAAACATACAGGACCTGTGAATCCCACAAATACTAATAAAAGCACAGCTGAAAATGAAGGTTAATGTAACTAAACATTAAAAATGATAAAGCACCATGTGTACAAGAGACTCATCCTGCAGCAACTCAGTCTCAGTCTTCCTGTGTCCCTGTCAATGGTGATTAATAATCATTTAATGATGTGTAATAATGAGCTCAAAGTACTTATCAATCACAAACTAATCAGTATTATTATTGTTATGAGCCCAGTGTCAACTTAACTGGGACGCTCAGATATTTGTAACTTTAATTAATCCTGCAAGAACAACTGGTTTTAATTAGAAAATAGAACTGATAAAATCTATAACAGGAGGTATAAAATAGCAGATCAGACAGGGGAGTGTAAAAAACTTATTTTGCTGCTCCATTTAAAAGCTTCCTAAAACTAGTTTAGCCAAGGTTAGTGTGTACATATGTAAGTTACTGAGCTGTGTAAAGTATGTACAATGTTTACATGAGAGAAGAGACAGCAGAGATGTGACTTCTGTTTGTGCAGTGCAAGTAAATACTGCAAAAAAAAAGCTTGTTGAAAGTTAATTTGAGACGTTGTCTTTGTTTAAAGTGATTTATTTGCTGTAATAATCCAGAACACACACAAACCGCTTAATTCAGCACACACAAAACAGATCTTTATCGTTGCATGTGTTATGGTAGACAGCTGTAGGGTTAACTTGACAGGTCAAGTTAAATATTAGTTTCAGCTGAAGTGTGGCATTAGTGGATTTGTTAATTACATTGCACATGGAAAGCTGCTGTGGAGTGACCCAAAGTGAAATATTACCTGAGCTGCATGTGATTGAAAAAAAAAAAGTTAAAAGGGACAGACTTCGGATTGTTCACTGTCTGCATTGCACAACGCATACTTTCCATAGTGTGTATAGACTGTACTGTACAGACGTGGGTACACACATATGCATTACACATATATGATATCTTGTTCTCTGTGTCAATATGTATGTAAACTCAAGTGTACGTGTGTTTCGTGTGTCTGTTGCAACTCCAGCAGTCTCTGGGCTCTACAGTTTCTGGCCTCTGAGGATGTTCACCTGTGTTTCATCAGAAAGGGCATCCTGAGAGATCACCTGCTCTATTCCCTGTGTCACCACAACTCACCTGATTGACTCTCAGGTGTTTAAAAGTGGTAAACACACACACACACACACACACATAGAAACTGCTGTCTTGCACAGTGTTTGACATATTATACTTCACATATTTATTATATATTTTGTTACACACAGTAGCAATTGTAAGGTTGTATCTTCTGTCTGTAGAAATGGAAATAATCTGCAGTGAACTTCCTGATAGAGGTTCTGCGAAACTGGCATGTTTGTGTAACAGCTTTCTGTGAAAAATGTAACTCTAACATTCACACAGCAAAAACAAGAAACAATCGAGCTGTTTTATTTTTGATCTGTGCTCCTTCCTCAATCCTGATGCATTTATCGCTCTCTTTGTGTGAATCATTGTGACATTATAACATCTTTCTACTTTAATACTCCTTTGGTTGGACAGTTCTACCCATGTTGATTACCCCACGACAAAGACAAACTCTTCTTTGAGATCATCTGTCTACCTTATAAAGGTTTAAGATACCTGCTGAATGTTTGCCACTGATTATTTTTATGTATCTGTGTGCATTAGATATTCACCAGAAGGAAGTTCCACAGTGGGAAACAACCAACAAGACAGGTTATACTGCTGGTAAATATTTGTCAGAGTATCAGGAAATAAGAGGCAGCGGATCACTCTAAAAGAAAGAGAAAATCAGTCTTTTCATTCTGTATAATCATTCACTAACTTGGCGACCAGCGGCGGGTCCACAGGTGGGATTCTGGGTGGAGAATTTCTGACCCTTTTCTGAAAACCCTCTGCACTGCCTGTGTGTGTCTATTTGCCTTTCCACTCCACAATAAAGTATGTGTTTAATGCATCATTTCAGCCCCTGTATGTGTGTGATTTGTGTTGCTGTATCCATATGGCACACTGTCAGTCCCTTAATGCATTGTGTTGGTTAGCCTAAAGCTGTAATACCATGGTAACTGGAAATAGGGGAGATGTGAAAGCGCTCTGTTGGGAAAAAGCTCCAGCTCTCTCTCCTTTGTCAAACCCCCTGACGAGCGTCTCTTTACCTGCGAGGCCACAGGGACTGATGGAAGCCACCAACTTGTCTAGACTAAACTGTGGCGGTCCCATAGGACACACAAATTAGACTCCAACTCACAGGTGACGAGGGACCGGTATGATGCAAGTGCAGCGAGAAATGAACTCATTCAGAGGGTGAAGCGAGCAAGTGGAAGAATTCAGTTTGACAGTAATGTAGGACCACTACAAATCAGCTGCTGAATCAAACATTACTTTACTGTATTAGTGTACAGTCATCAAGGCGCACGGGCAAATGTGAGACATGATCAATAACAAGACGTGACACGCAGTCTGTCTGAGGTAATGGCTGACCTGATTTTAACTTTGGTCAACCAAAGTCAACCATTAACTACATTAGGATGAGGTCAACAAATGGTGCCTCGGTGCTCGTGCCCTCCTTCACTTTTCACTTTTTGTCTATACCAGCTATTCATGTCGTAGAAGTTATACTATGCTCTTATTTATTTTTAATCCAACACCTCATCCTTTTTATTTGCAGGTAGTTTGAGGTTTGGACTTGTATTAGTATGTGCTAATGTACATTTTTATATTTATCTATCCATGTTTTATTCACAGAGTGAATGCAACAAATCTTTGTGCTTAGCCTATGTGGACTGTTGACGATGTAGATTGGAATGACAATCAAGTCTATCTATCTATCTATCTATCTATCTATCTATCTACACACTGACAGTCTGGCTACAGCACTGTGCCTGCATGGATTTCAGCAAGCCTAACTATGGTGTTTTTAAGGGGAACTCTTGAATATGCTGCCACTAGTGTATCATCAGACTATTCTTGTTATTTGTCTTTATAAAGATGTTAAAATCCTTGACTTTTCCTGCACTTTACTCTCCATCAAAAGCACCAAAAGCTATGCAGAGTGACTCCATTCAAGTTCATTTTGTTGCAAAAATGCAGTAGAATAATGGACTCCCAGACTGCAAAAATAACATGCATGCATGAAAAGAGGCTCCCTTAACCCTGCTGCTTAAATTCCACTGAGTGAAATAGTAGCTAGATAAGATTATTTATTATTTTGGGGGGATCCCCTGGAGTAGCCTGAAGAATTTAGGGATCAAACTCTGCGTTTGTGATCAACAGAGAAAGGAGTGAGAAGTCAGGCTGGAAAAATCAATAGCACACACTTGTGTTATCAGTCACTGAATGAATAAACCCTAAGTTCACTTCAGGTGGCATCAGCAGCCAGCTGGCAGCCGGACACTGGGACGCGGCCAATAAAAGTGAGAAAGTGACAAGCGGGAAAAACGGCAGAAAACAAGCCGTGGATAGACAGTAGGGTGTGACTCCGCCTATTGATCAAAGACCATCCTCCTCCCTTTTGTCTTTTCTTCAGTTTGTTAACTTCTCTAAAAGCCGCGTGGACTTCGGCCGAGCCGCTCCAACCCTCTTTACGCAGGCCTTCATTTCATTTCGTGGGATTTTTTAGCGCATCCGGACTGACCCGGTCCACGGACAACACGCAGAGACCTTTCCTCCTCCTCCCTCTCAAGTTGTGTTTCATGGAGTCTTTGTGGAAATCATTGATTGTCAACACAGCAGCGAGGTAAGACAGCACATTAACAGCTACAGTCTTCATGTGTCCACATTAACAACACGTTATGATCCAAACAAATCGGGTCCAACAGAAACACACGTGGGCGTCTCTTCCATGAAAGCATGACATACTGTGAAACTATTTCATGTAGCCAAAGCATCGCACGGGTTTGAAATTGTGTTTTTCTTGCCCACAGTGTGGTTTTTAGCTTTACCGTGGTTTGCGACGCTTTCGCAGCCTGTATGGAAATGACTCGCACTGTGAGCGAGCCCCAGCGCACAGATTATTTTCATGTTATTTGCGTTTTGTTAAACTGAGCTGGCTGTTCATGCTGGCTGGACAACAAGGCTCATGTGTTCTCATGTAACCCCCCCCTGATAAGGACATATGTGCGCCCCAGAAGCTCCAAAAAAAAGCACAGAGACGCATTTTCTCACTAAGTTCCGTTTTTAAGTTCGGATGTGAGTCATTTTTATTGGTTACTTTGAGACTCTGTCACGTGAACCTGCTGTCACCTTCCAACATGTCCTGACCTGCAGACTTGAATTAATCATCGAGGCAATTATAGCCTAAAACTTTTACACAGACTACAAAGAAGTGACTTTTTTTACACTCTTTTCCCACGTGTTTGGAGATCAGCTTGTCAGTTTGGACCGTTTGCTTTCGGAAGTCACACTCTCCATCACCCTTGCCCTACACATCTGGGAGTGCGGACACACACACACAACACAGTCTACACACACACACACGCACTCACACTTCAGAGTGCGGCTTTCAGTCCGTTGAAAACAACCCCCTGAACAGTTTCCTCCATGCACACAAACCACACTCCTCCTCGCTACACGCAGATAGGCCATCGCTCTGTACTTCTCTGAAAGGTGTCAACAGGATGAACTGATAACATCTGTGTGCACTACGTGGCTGTCTGTGTGCTGTTGTCTGAGCCTGGATTTGGTTTTAATGAGGCCTGTGTGGGGCTGCAGTGAGGGTTTGGTGTTAATGTCACCCCCCACCCCACCCCCCCCACCCCCCCCATCACAGCCTGAGATATTATTGGCATCATTTCATTTTTATATACAGTATGTTTGTGAGATGTAGGCTGTGTGTTGAATGGATCTGATGCAGCTGTTTCAACATATATTGGCAGATGTTATGCTCTGAATTTGGCTGCCTGTCAAAAGACAACAGGGGTGTTTTGCACTATGATCTGTTAGTTTTAGGGGGTACACTGGAAATGACTGTCCACAAGCGGGAAAAGAAATTTAGTAACACCACCTACAGATGCTGTGGTGTAGGCTAACATTTAAACAGCTTATTGAGATTCAATATTCAAATGTTTCACTTTGTCTGTAGATTTTTATATGTGTGACAATACATGAACATGCCTAAATATTCTCAGATGAACTGATGACTCATAGTTTGATAAATAAAGTGTTGATAATAAATTATCACGTGATGAGGTCATCTTTCCTTCTCCTCCTACACCAAGCTGACAGTGTCAGGCAGATAGTGCATGTGCACAAGTTGTTGCGCTGTGTTGCATTCAAGGGCCTGTTGGAAAAGCAGGTGTTAGGAATTGGAGCATGCATAAATATTATGATTTAATGATTCTCACTGGTGTTGAAGTTCCCATGAGGTGTTCATAGATAATAAAGAAGCCTACAGTTATTTATAAAATGTAAGCTGACATAATCTGTTGATCAATCAGCAACTAGTCTGATAATTGATTAATCATTTAAGTTAATTTTCAAGCTGAAATGCGAAACACATTAGTTCCAGCTCTCAGTCATAAGGATTTGCTGCTTTTCTCTCTCTTAAATGATAATAAACTGAATATCCTGATTAATGGTCGGACAAGAAAAGCTTTGTGCTGTGTGTCTAATTTTATTTATAGTGTCTTGACCAACTTGACAGGAACGTGTGTCCATATTATAAGAAGCAGAGCAGTGTATGGAGTATTTGTGGCTCAGCTGTGACGGGCAAATATCTGTCAAAGAACATAAAAAATCCACTTTTTTAAAAAAAAAAATAGAAATTAATTTGCGAGCATGGTTTATCAGACTGAGCATAAATATTAGTTTCCACCCATTTGTAGTATAATAGAGTATTGCACAACATCCATTAAAGCAGTGCAGAAATGATTAATCCAGATTCACTGGATGCAGTGTGTGAGGATTTGCTGTTGTGTTTTTTGTTAAATATCATATTAAACTAAATATTTGTGGCCTTTGGATGGTTGGTTCAATCACCATGAGTACTGGAAAACTATGATGGTCACTTCTTTAAAAAAAAAAATTGTTGACAAAAAACAGCACATTAACTGAAAGGGAAAATAACTGTTAGCTGCAGCCCTACATGGGAGAAGTGTATGGAAAAAGGAAGTGGGGTATGACTCAGGGTTTGTGGCAGGAGAAAGCAGAACAGAAACATAGAGCCCACTGTGGTGTTGAGTCGCAGAACAGTAACACAAGATGAGAAGCGCATGTCAGATCAGGCGTCAGGCGATAATAAGTTCTGGTTTGATAACAGTGAGACTGAAGCTCTTCGTTGTGACATGACGATTGTGACATCTGAAATGAGCCGTGAAAAAAAAAAAACACATGAAATATGACTAAAAATACAGTATCACGGTATTTCAGTACCGCTGTCATTTTTTCTATTCACAGACGTGGCCTTGAAGTAAAGACTCAATCACACGTTAATGTTTTATCACACCATAACCGGTTGTGCTCGAGGCTTCATCATGAGAGCTGTTTTGTTTGTTGCAACATGTGGCAACTATCACATTGTTGATCTGTAGGAAACTGATTCACTAGTATTCCTTGCATAAGTGTCAAGTTATGAATCGGCCTCACACATTTTTGCTTCTTTGCTGCTTGTTGCGTTATGCTTCCACCTATGTGCACCGGCTGATAAGGGTGTATGTGACATACATGTGATAAGCCACAAGATTCTCCAAAGTTGATAAAATGCCTCCAGCTAGTTGTTATCTAATGATGACTTCTTTATGTGTGCTAGCTGTTTGGGTTTGAGGTGTGCTGCCTGATGTTTGAGGTGGGAGTTTATTCAAGAAAAAAAGATTATTTGAACCAATCTCGCGCAGATTTTAATCAATGAATGCTAGTTTCTAATTGTTGTATTTTATATTCGTAGGTCTGGAGCCTTATCATTGCAACACCATAACAAAGTTACTACATGATGAGCAGCCAGCCGATGCACACCGTCGTTGACCCAGTGTTTCGAAGCAAGATGCCATTATTTGACGGGACCATAGCATCCACAGGACTGTCAAAGCCACCAAATATGTCTGGTTTTCTGGGTAAGCAGGCACTGCAGTACAGCGGGGCCTACTTCGCTTATGATCCCAGAGGAAAGGACGGAGCAGGATTCATTCCTCCTTGGAGCAACTCAAAGACCTCCCTACTGGATGGCAGAAGTCCTGTGAGTCACCTCTCTGGCATGGAGGGCCCGAACCACATCATTTACAGGCAAGACAGCAATTCTTCAGAGGAAGGCCATTCTTCCTCTCTGTATCACGCCCCGGTAAAACAGGGCTTTACATTATACACCAAAAGTCCTGGGGTCAGCAGTCCTACAGCTGCCGCACCAGCGGCTCTTGGAAAACAAAAAAACAGAGGTGAAAAATCATCTCCCACATCTGACAACCCTGTTTACTTGGCAGTTCCTAAGCCAGTTTATATGCATAACCCCTGCTGTAATGAACTGGGTTGCATGTTAGGACACAGATACAGTGTGGAACATGGCTCTCCGAGGATACCAAACACTGTATATGAGCATGATTGGATGCAGACTGATGCTCACTACACTGACAGACTGCCCGTGCAGAGGAAAGCACAAGACACACTGCTGCAGCAGAAAGGTTTACAGTTTGAGCCCAGCTCAGAACCACTAAAGAGGACTGTGGAGACTTACAGCCCAGGTAGAGCAAGGACTTTTCCTGCTGTGATCGACCCAAACTACAGCAGCTACCCCTGCACCCCGACCCGCACACTGTTTGGTTCTCTAAGTGAGCAGAGCCAGCGTTTACAGACTTCCCCCAGAGGCTACCCCAGCATATACTCCTCCCATCCCACATATGAGCACATGACCTCAGAGGTTTATCAGGAACATTCTCCCATGTCCAAATATGGCCAGCTAACACAGCACCCGATGTTTTACTATCCCCGGGCAAATGTGGAGGTAGAAAACAGGACACAGTGTAAAGATATTGGTAGTAAGCAGAGAGAAGATGTGCCTGTTATTCTCAAACACACACTCTCAACCCCCCGGGAGCATTACATAGTGCCTCAGTCGCTTCATGGTGAAATTCCTTTGCCCAGCACTGAAACATTGCCAAATCATGCCTTGATGAGAGGCTTTGACTACGCATATTATGCAGTTCCAAGATTTCATTTACATGCAAGCCAAATCAGAGCCCCCCTAAAAAGGCAACGTGCATCACCAAGCTTGCAGTCTAGTCGCATTAATGTTTCCCCATCCAGCCAATACACAGAGCACCCGTTGGCCTCTGCAGCCAGCCTACAAAAGGACAAACCAAGCGCAAGCCTGCGTGTTGACCAATCACGTACCACCTCACCACTCCTACGTATAGACCAAACCAGTCCTACTAGATGTGTAAGTCAGTCTAGCGTCTCACCATCCAGCATACAATTAAACAGATTTTTCCCCCCACTCACCAGCATGCACTTAGAGCGACCTGTCCTTCCACCGACTGCGTTGAACATGGACAGAATCCTGGACCATTCCTCCTGTGTGTCCCAGAAACAGCCAAAAAGCCTTCCTGTCTCCCCAGCAGCATGGCTGCCCCGGTCTCCGCATCACAGCTCAGATCAAATCCACGCAGATGTACCTAATGGCGCAAATGTCCGAAAAATTATTTATTCCCCTGCTGTTGCACCAGGAAACAAACACAAGGACCCTGTGTCCAGTTCAGGCAACGCTGTTCTCAAAGCGTGTCTGAAGAGAAGTATCTCTCACTCATCTTCACCCATCAAAATAAAAGAAGAGGATAGGGATGTATATGAAGTGGAACTCATTAAGAAACGACAAAAGGTGGAAACGGGAAAAGTAGAATTAGGACATAAAACCGACTCTCCTCCCATGCCAGTCATTGACACTGTCTTCAGTCTGGCACCTTACCAAGCCTACCTGCAGGCCTCTGGAGTGTTATTTCCAGGCAGAGTACCTCAGAGGACTGTCCAGTCACCCCAGCACCATGAAGTCAAAACCAAGCCAGATCTCAAAGACAAAAGGCCAGATCGAGATGAACAGCAGCCCGTTGTCTGTCTGGTTTCCAAAAAAATCTGTACAGATACTCCACCAAAGAAGCCTGCTGTAGAAATGCTTGAATCCAAAAATATAAAAGTGGAAAAGGCAGATCCATCAGACACAGACAAGTCTGCAGAGACTCCTGTTAGTCAAAGGGACTGCAGCAAAGTAACGATAAAAAAGGAGCTTGAAGAGACCGGCTCATGCAGCAGTGGGCCCATGGTGGTGATAAAGAAATGTGAACCTGATGAATTTGAAAGTAAACCCTCATTAGTAGATAAAAAAGAGACTTCACATGAGTCCAAACCTGGTGAGGTGGCTGCACAGATGAACTCATCTTCTCATGGTGATGCATGCACACTGAACAAACAGGTGGTCACAGTGCAACCCAAATCCATTACTCCACCTCAGCCACCTGAGAGCAAACGAAATTTCAAAAACATTCCCCCTCAGTGTCTGAAACTTTCCACCTGCAATATAATTCTCCGTGATGCAAAGCTTTCCAGCCCTGTTCCAACCTCAGAGAAGCCACCTGCGAAGAGGATAACTGAATTCACACCAAACCTAGAGCTCCAAATCCCTGTCCGCAAGCACTTCTTTGAGTTGCACAGCTCCCTCTGCAAGCTGGTATCCAACATTGTGTCGGCCTCTTCAGAGCAGGAGCTCAGAACCTGGTTGTCTCAGCTGGAACTGACTGAACCGTTATCTCCTTCAACCAAAGTCCAGAAAGTTTCCTGTTTGTTGGGAGTAAAAGCGCGGGAGGCGTGGCTCAATGAGGAGATGAAGTCAGCGCTCCATAAGGTCCTGGAGAGGTTGCGAGAGTACACCACCCAGGAGCGCTGTCCTTTCCCACATGTCATGCGGACGGGAGCGGTGTTCCTCCCCATGCTTGTGGTGAAGGAGCTGCTGTTTCCAACAGTCCAGGGCAGCTTCATCGACCAGGTCCTGCAGGAGCACAAAGTGGAGCTGCGGCCCACCACGCTCTCCGAAGAAAAGATCCTCATCCAGCTCCATAAACGAGCCTGCTCCTCCAGGCTCAGGAAACTGATGTCCCTCAAACACCTGCCTGACATCTACGCTGATGTGGTCAACCTTCTGTATCATGCCTGTGTCTGCAAACATTTGGGTGAGTGCGTGTTCACTTCAGAGTTACTGAGATCGTGTTATGTGATTAGAAATGAAGGAAACAGGCATTGCAGTTATGTAATGTCGGTTACAGACATCTTAATTTAGTCCTTCGTCCATCTGTTTTCCAAATGAATGTTGTTCTGGGGGTGGCATTATGGTAATTTGTCCCTTTTTAAGTGTCATCAAGCCAGACAAATTAGAGGTGTTTCAGTAAGCATAAGTTGTGTTAATTACTCCTCATGGGGAAATGCTGGATGCAACTATGCATTTGGCCAACACTGAAGTAAACAAATGCTCATGAAGGAGGCAGGAAATGACCAAATAATGGACAGTTATTTTAGGGGCGTGCATACACAGGCATGCATGTTTTTATAAATATCACACAGGTTATTTTTTTCAGTAACTACAGCACTTCTTCATGAGCAAGATTGCAATGCATGTTGTCAGTTAAGTAAAGTTTAATCGGTCAGGCAGCTATAAAAATGTAGCTCTTCACCTCAGTCATGATCGAAAAGTAAAACGTAGGTGTAATAAGGGTTCCTACTGTTTTTTTTCTGAAAGATCATAAGACTCACTGAGATGGTTCTTATGATAGTGTTTCAGATAGAGGTTCAGGAAAATGTTTGTTCCATGCACAAATACTTAGAAAGATTATACCTCTAGTTTGACCATGTGATATGTGCAACATGACTGCCCAAGCAACAGAGTTTCCTGCCTTTCCTCGCATATTTCTGGAAATCCCCATTGGATAGATGGCATGATTTACTGATTCCTCTGGATTTTTTTTTATAACGCATCGTATTTTGACTGTTAACTGTATCTTGGTTTTCCCTCATGCAGCCTTTAGTGATCATATTTTTCTGCATTTTTGGCCCTTCTGTGAAGAACAAATCACAATAAACGAGAAATATTCAATATAAAATTATTTATTTTTTGCAGAATCAACCTCACCTGATGTCCAAAAGAGAGTCCAGGTATACTTGTTTTTTATGTTGTCCCTCAATCTCACTACTCTTTTGCTTTTTCTGATTAGAACGCAGGACACCTTTCTGCTAACCTTCAGTAACTAATCACAGGAAGTTGCATGATTGCATCACACTTGTTATGGTGGGTGGAGGGAACGGAGCTGGGTTATTTGTGGAAAAATGAGGCTCTCCTTCATGATTTCTGTTCGACTGTATTGTTGGACCTTAAAGATTGTGAGGCAGGCTGTTGGATCACATTACCGGAGGAAGGAAGTGACAGCCTGCTCCACACACGGGGGGATTAACTGTGGCACATTCTGAGCAGATCAGAAGATGGTGATCATCATTTTTTAACAGACCAGGGAACTGGTCTGTTAAAAAACCTGCATCTCTGCGGTTAAGTCTTAAAGAGAAGTGAGACTAAACAACTTGTGTGGGAAAACAGGGTTTAAAAGATAAGGTCAGCAATATTCTATATTTTTGTTATTGTCAACTATTCCCATGAAAAGACCAAAACCAACAATGTGTTTCTGTCTCTTGGTACTTTCTGACTTCCCCAGCCTGTATGTGGATCTCAGCCACAAGCCCATTTGTTCCTACTAAATACTATTTAAAAACAAAACAAAGGGTCACAAATATTTAATTTATTTATGTACCCTTCATTTAACCAGGAGAGTCCCACTGAGATTAAGATTCTCTTTTTTTAAGGGAGACCTGGCCGAGACAGGCAGCAGCATAAATAAAAATAGTTACAGATCAGAAAACACAAAAGAGACTAAATTAAAAGGAACTAAATAACAAGCTCCGGAAATTCAGATTTCTAGAGAAATTAAGAGTTAGTTTCATAACCAGGTAAATATAGAATGTGGCATCTTGAGAAATCCGCCTCCAATTCTTTTTAATTTTAGATTCAGAAGCATCAAAAAACAGAAATAACAAAGTACGTGTTTACTGTAATCTATGCTTTTCAACATATAAATCAGCAACGTTACAAAAAAGTATTTAACAAGACGATTCATTGAGTTGCAACATATTGTGTGCAGAGGCTGCAGAATACACAAATACCCTTTTTCCAATATCTGTATGAGCATTTGGAACAGACGGCATAAAGTCCTGAAAACACACAGAGTACTATCTGGCACTTATCTGTGTGATAAAGACATATAGCTAGAATTGGAGCAGTCCAAGATTTGCCTTAAAGGTGCACTAATGACAGAGCAGGCCATCCTACCTGAGCGTAGTACCCACAGTGGTGAGTCAGAGCTTTACAGTTTGTAATCAGAAATATATTTCGTTTTTTAAGAGGCTCCATGATTTGCTAAAACTGCCAGACACTGTAGTTTTTACAATTGTTATAAATATTGGATTTGTTTGGATTATTTCCAGTTGCACATTTGGTGTCAGTGGTGTAGTGGTAGTTGATGAGGTGGGTGTATGACTAGGTGGAGGAAGTGGGTATACTTCTCCATATATTCTAATCGATTAGATATAAGCAGACAGAAAAAGAGGTGGGTATATCCTGTGCGTATACCCCCACTACATCAGTGTTTGGTGAACTCGTGAGTATATTTGGCTTCAGTATGGTGCACATGGGGTTGACTCAAACTACAGTGCTGATGTTCATCATTATGAAGGAGCATGTCATCCAGTGCAGTGGTTTGGATCGCTTGTGTGTTTTAAATCAGCTACATCAGGCTTTGTTTGCACAGAACAATTCATTTTTTGTTCTCGTCTATTCATGGGATTTGTTGACAATAACAGAACTCTGGCACACAGTCTGCTACACATGCAGTTTCAAGAGATTTAACTGGGAACGTTTCGGTACAGAGACCTTCAAGAGGTTATTTTAACCTGATGGAGGTCTCTGTTCTCAATAAATCTCTTCTAATTAAAAGTGTAGGAGACTGTGCGCAAGTTCTTTGTTCCACTAAAGTCAGCCCGTGATCATCTCAGACACACCTGTCCTCCTACAGGTGTGCAGAAGTTTTACTTTTTACTAACATATAAACTATCACCAGATGTCCTTTAAATCACCTTTTAACTTTGTGTCCTTCGACAGCTATTATTGTATTTGGCACATGCATTTTCTAACCGAATTGAGTTTAATCGAGTTTCCGTTCACTGCTGACTTTATTAACAGTTCACATGATTTGGGAGCACTTGACTTTGGTATTGAACATTTCCCTTGTCTCACTCTGGCCTCACCGCTGTTTTATCCCTGACTGATAGCACCCCTTCTAGCAGCTGACTGTTTTCCCAGCCTTCGTGTTTACTCCCACAGCCTTCCATTCTGTCTGTGTTTAAAAGGGTGTTTCATGGTTGAGGATCATGCTGTCCAATCACCCGGTCTGCTGATATTAATAGAATAGCTTCTCATTGTTCTTGTGTGCTGAGTAAGCGCTATGGGAGCATTGATTTGTCAACCTGTATGGAGGTGTTGGACTTTGTGGTTGCTGGTTTGCTTTTTGGGAACCATCTGTTGGGAAACAAAGTGAATGCATTTATTTTATTTGTTTTTTGTGTGTGTCATAAATCCTGAACGTCCACTTGGATATGATCCCTCCCTGATTACTAAATCAATTCTATAACCTCTTTAACTTGCCTTCCCATTTTGTTAACAACCTCATTTTTATTTCTGGTATTCATTTGACCTCTCTTGATTGCCGTATTCCTTGTATTGCAGGATTAGATGTGGACGTTCCTGCGGACGGAGAAAAAGATGAAGGTTACGAGACCATCAGCTGCAGGACTCCAGTACTTTCAGACATCACTGCCTCACAAGCCTCGCCCTCAGAGTCACACCCACAGAGACATGAGGAGGACCAGGAGACAAAATCAGATTTGATCAGGAATAGAACAATGGGCAGGATTAAGAGCAGTTCGAGGCGTTTGTTTTTGAGCAACAGTTTGTCAGATGAGGATGAGGCAGATGACGCAGAGACGACTGTAAGTGAAGGCAAGCTGAATGCACTTAGTGAGGAGAACTGGAGTGGACATCAGTGTGAGGGGACGGATAATGGAGGCAGTGACTGTTTGGTTGCGGAGCAGGATTCTTTGCTCATTCCCCTTAGCACAACCTCTGAGAATTCATGGATGTGCCCTTTAACCTTGGACAATCTCCATCCATCTCGCAGTGACACGGAAGCAGAGGAATACTCCAGCCTGCAGCCTGTAAGAGCCAAATCTCCAGGTAGATCCAAGAGCTGCTCAGGCATGATTCTCAAACTGAGGAGGATGTTTAGCGAAGGACTAGACAGAAAAAAGGCCTGCTACCAAGCAATCTCAGACTCAGGGACGTTTGCTGAACCTTCCCTCTCACAGACTGATGATAAGGAGGGAGAAGTGAGCAGTGAACGGGACCTTCACAGGCCCAAAGTAACCCACAGGTGGCAGAGAACAGGAAGCTTCTCTCACGCATTAAGACCTCTCCGCAGCTCTTCGAAAAGAAAACACAGATCGCTCTTAAAGATCAAATACTGCCCCTACTTGTCCGCCTGCCACAGCGCCGAGCACAGGAGGCGCTGGGTGCTGCGCTCGGCTGTCCAGAGGGCTCGGAGGGCCATGAGGTTGTACTACCCAGACCTTGTGGGTAAAAGGATTCGCCATCTGTATGAAGAAGACGACAAGTCAGAGGTGTGGTACAGAGGGGAAGTGCTGCGTATCCATGAGGCCCACACCAACCCTCTAAAGACTATATTTGAGGTCAGGTATGACAGCGAGCCAGAGTGGAAGTACTACCTAGAGCTACTGATAGATTATAAAAAAGGCTGGCTGAAAATCGAAGACTAGTTCCGCCACACAAATGCCGAGGTGTCAATTTTGCTTTTGGTCACATCACTGAGTGCAATCATTTTTTTTAATTGTTTTATCTCTCAACTGTCTATTTTTTTTTACTCGCCAACAACAGGCCGATGAGTCTTAAATATCTGCCGGGCCTCCTCAGGAATGAAGTTGGACAGGATATTTTTTTGTAACGAGGTCAGCTAAACATTCTTTGTCACTTGATAGCTGCACAGTGCATAATTAGGGACTGACTGTAGCCATGGTGCAACATCCTGTAGATGTTTTATTTTAAGTGCTAATCGTCTTTGACACATCTGTCTTTGGCTTTTCTAGTTTGTACACAAATGAGATTGTGGTTATGCGAAAGACCTCGCTTAATTTAAGTGTCCATTAGATTATTTCAAACTTCCATTGTGAGTAATTAAATTGGGTATTTATTATCTTCATTATCCACTTTCCTGGTTTGAAAAAAAGTGAAGTTAGTGACTGGTAGATTTTCTATTTTTACTTTGCGAAACCAGCAAATGACAAAGACATTTATAAAAGGTTTTACTGTCAACAGTGCCAGCCACGTGTATATAGGTTTACAGTAGAGTCATTATTATGACACATTTATTATTAGCAGAGTGATTTTTACCCTGATGAATGTTGTTTTTATTGTGTGTAAGTGAAGCTGTACAGGCATTTATGTAGTTCTGTTTCGCTGCTCGAGATGTCCCCATGTCATAGTGTTTGAATCACTGTGAACCTTCAAGACTTTCACCTCAAGTCATGTTTTAATTTTGTATAATTTGCTTAGACGTTTGCAGATGAGTTTGTTCAAAGCATTATTCTCACCGTTGTCTTAAATAAATGTTTGTAATGAGTCCGTGTTTTATGTCGTGCTGTTGAAATGGTTTTTGGACTACTCAATGAAGCTTTTTTTACTCCCCTGTGTTGCATGGGATTTCTTGAATATTAAGGTAACGTGAACATACTGCTAAACCCACTGAGATTACCAGCTAGACACAATTACACAGTGACACAGTGAATGTGTTTTGCTTCCCATTACATCAGCGTAGTTGCAATGCTGTGACTGAAACACAAGAAAAGTGTCTTTAAAAATGAGCACTTCATTTTGTAAACACTGCCTTTGGAATGTAACCTAAGATATGAGACTTGAAGTTTGAATGACAGTGTCTTTGTCCCCATCCTGTGGCAGAATATTTAGTTGCAAATTCACTTTTCAAGTTACCATTTAGGTGGAGACTGTTTTTTTCAGTGATGGGTTTAGTTTGTGCATGTGACTACCCAAGTACACAGCAGTTATCTTAAGGACACAGTTTAAAAGGACATCAAATATTGATTGTGGCGACACGTTCTACTGAAGGAGCATGGATACTGCCACAACAAAAACATTGTGTCCATTATCAAACAACCACCCATGCCAGAATGATGTTTGCAACATTTTGCACTTTAATATTTTCTCCAAAACAGACAACTAATTTTTCCCACATTTTTACACTAATAGGAAATAAAACACCTTTGATAGCATAAAGAAAAAGATATGTAGAAAAGTATTAAAAGGTTTTTTTTGGATGTCTCAGTTAAATGTAAGTAGCTGCTTCTGTTACTTCAAACGTTATGTCGAAATGTTCATGAACTACTAGCAGACACAATGAAAACAGAGTGAGCCCTGGAGAGCATATTAGCCTAATGATCACAGCTACAACTGGTGCGTTACTGCAAGACAGCTTAGAGAAAGTAGCCCATCTTTTGTTACTATCCATTCACCCTGTGTCATCATTGGTTTGTGACTCGAGAGACAAAATGAATTCAAAAGTGACATCATACAACCAACCACCTGATCTTTTTCATACAGTCTGCAAGTATATGTTGTTTAAAAAGAAACATTTTTGCCTAAAAAAGAAAAAGTTACCAAATGATTCCACGCAATTCTGGAAGACACAGCTCTGCCAAGGTCTGTCGTACACTACATTGCAAAAATACATAGCGCAGAAATGCATCGTGGATGTTTGGGTAGTTCATATGATTGAGACCAAACCTACTCTAATGACTCACACAGTACTCCCAAAAATGAGATTTCTCATGACATTTATTCAAATAAACAATACAGTTTATAATTTGCTAGGATAAAATAATAAGTTTGAACACATAAGAAGCATTTGGGAGAGAATTCCCCAAAGATCTGAAACTGGGTTAAAGGATGTGTTTTAATGAAAGCTGACACTTTGGTGTCATCTTCTGACTTGCATCAGTGCCTGTATATTCATGTCCCCTCCAGTCAATCTTGTTAAGACTGCCATATTGCAGAGACATGAACGAGCATTTACAAGCAGAGAGCTTGACAACCAGAGTAACCACCACATAGAACAATGCAAAACCTGGAGGGGCACTGACATTTCAATGTCGAATCCTCAACCCATGTGCGAAAAATACAGTCTTTAATGCAAAAGCATAACAGCGTTATAAAACAGTCCTACAACCTTTAGAAGTTTGCCCTATATTCCTCATCTGCCTTAGGATCACGCAAGTCCATCTGTGTAGCTTGGTTTAAAGCTATGTTCTGCCTCACTGCAAGGCGAGAGATCTTTTTCAAGGAGGTAGGACCACTACCAGGCCCATACCACCCAAGTGTTCCCTGCAAGAGTGATGCAAATGCCTGACCCTGTTTGACAGTGATCCAGCTCAATTAGCAGCACGACAAAGCTGTGCTGTCAGTACATTCTATTACCCTCATTCAATCCCCAAGGTGCAAGCTGAGCTTTAAGAGGGCTATCTCAAGCCACGTCGGGATAGAGAGAAAAAAAGAAAAAAGAGTGAATGTCACTCAGTTTGGCTCTTGCAAATAATTAGTAATGGTTTTAAATGTTAAACACCTCTAAAAACAACTAAGAGGGTACAGCAAAGGGTTAGAATAGAGGGACAAAGGGCCGGTGCGTTCTACCTCACCTTTGAACTGTAAAACCTTTTCTGCTCTTTGTTTTCTATCTCAGCCGTGTACTTCCACTGAGTCCTTTATCTGATCACTTGGCAACTAAGAGAAATTCTTTCTATCAGTCCCCACTAAGAGTTACTGATTAGGTGCAACTTTGTGCACTGCTCTGAAGAGACTGAGGATGACGGGACAAATGCCTTATTGCCAAAGACATCCAAGCTCCCACACACAACGGAGGGAGTAGACAGACTCGACCTACATGGCGAAAGTACACCTTTCTCAGTATTGGTAAAGAATAAATATTTCAAAATTTCAAAATTATGCAAACACGTGCCACTCTTGCTCTTTAACTCCCATGCATATGGACTATTTACAAATTGAAAAATACAGACTTGCTATTTTGTTCATTTGATGTTTTTTTTCTTCTTCTCCCCCCTGAAATGTCTTTGCCCCTTTGCAATCAACCTATCAACATTCAGCCACTCAGACAAGGATCTCACCACATATTGCAGACATGGCCAGGACAATTAAAGCTGTGTTGAAAACATTTTTCACACTAATGGGAAAACAAAAGTCAAAATCAAAACAGAAAAGATTCACAAGCAAAAAAAAAAAACAAAAACAAACAAACAAAAAAAACAAAAAAAAACAAAGGAAAAAAAGATAGTTCAGGGGAGGTGTTACAATACAAGCCAAAAGGATGTATTTGTTTAAGATGGATTTTCTGCTTTCTCAAGACTCCACTCTGTTGCTAACAATACTGTAGTACACGTTCTTTTTATTACTCTACCTTGTATTTAAATATAATTTATTTTGAAGATTTTGTTAAACAACTCCAGGAAAAAAAAATGATGCAAAAGTGGTTGGTTTGCCAAAGGAGAGGCGGCAGAAGGCCCGTGCTGCCCTGTTAAATTGCATCAGCGCTCTAGTTTGTCAAGATACTCAAGAGTCCGTTGCATTGGGACGTGTCCTCAATCCTCAATGTACTCCCACAGGTCCTTCTCATAGCCTTCATGCACGTGCTGTAGCAGCACTCTTCGCCTGCTCTCACAGTATCTGTAGGGAAACAAAACACTTGTTGGTATCCAAGAACAGACGAATGTATCAGCGGCAGGCAGTGATTATGATTCTTTCTTCACTGACCTGTACTTATCTTGAACTTTCTGCTTGATGTCCTGCAAGGAATCCTGGGAGATATCCCGCTCTAGGTAGCCAGACAGCACCTCAGTGGCATTTTCCAGGTCTGCCTGGTTGTTCTGGTGAACCAAAAAAAAAAAAAAGATAAATATTTTTCTAACAGAACTGTCAGTTACCCATGATAATGCCTCCTACACTTAAGAGGATCTTGTCTCAGGCCCAGCTCAGATTACAGGAAGTTTGAGCTGATTTCCTCACATTCACTCCTCCCAACAATCGAGTGACTAATTCAGTCTTGGGCCTTTCTCAGTGGACTAGATGTGCTGCCAGAGAGAGGAATGCTGAATGGAAATGTAGCCAGGATTTCGTGGGATATCCATTTGCCCACTAACAAGGTTTCACAAGTAGTTATGACTGAATGGAAAAGACAAATTTCTGCCAAAGGATCAGCCAACCTGATTTTGGTGAAGATGAAGTTCATCTAGATGTGGTGAGTTTATAATTGCAGTGCTGCCTTTATGTGGCACTACAAATACAATTCCATGATAATTGTATATTCCTCATTTCAGGACAGTGATTACTGTCAAGATTATCAATCAACACTCAAATTGCTTTGCAAATTTTATTTGTAGATATAATATAAATATTAAAAGTAATTTAACTCATGCACCATCTGCTCTGTTACGCCAAGAATTTCTGTTTTATCATACCTCAAAAATAATGGACTGGTTGTTCTTCTTGAGGTAGAAGGCAAAGACGTAAGTGAACATGAGTGTGGAGCGGCACTGGCACAGCACATCCACGGCCTTCTTCAGAAACTGCACCTCAATCCAGGACATGTTGTGCTGCTGCATCTCCTCCATCTTCTGCTTGACCTGAGCATAGAGCTTGTGCTCAAAGCGCAGGCTCTGCATGTGGTTCATGTAGCGGTTGCAATAGAACAGGTACCTCTGCAAGGCTGCCCTGGAGCGCTGCACACACACATCATGGAACTGGCATTAACTCAAGCATGCTCAACTTGATTTGTACTAGAGTGCAAATCTTAAAACTTGCTGGGTGCTGTATCATTAGCTACGTATAATGAAATGTCTACATTGTATTCTGCAGGTGTTTCAAGCAAGACAACATTCTTCAGTATGCAAAAATCATCAATCATGTTCGTCAAGGGTGTAATAGACATTCATATCCAGGCAAACGCAGCAGCATTCCCTGGTCCAGCCCACTCTTTTTTGGTTTGACTTATTAATATTGTACAGCAGGATTACATCACTTACTGTCACTTGTTTGATTAGTTGGAATGGACTGTACTCTTTTAAAGCATATTAGGCACTTTTGTGCCAAATGATATACATTTTTTACAGGATTTCTTGTCAGAATTTTGTGCATCACCCAGTGCAGTGGGATGGAATCCATACTTTGGATGCTGCTGCTGTGTGATCAGAAATCACAGTTGTTTGGGGTGTAACGGCATGTATATTCATCCCAATCCATTCAGTACAGGTTGTTCTGTTTAGTATGCGTCATCCTCGGTTTCGTACTCCCTGTGGCCCAAACAACTGCTGTCAAAATGGTCTATTTATGTCTACTACTTGCATGCACGCAACAGAAATTCTGCAGAGCAAGTTTTACCTGGAAAGCTTTGGCAGCGCACTAATTGTTGTTGATCAGCTGTTGCATGCTAGTTGACTTTGGCCAGATAGCCAGGTGGGTCAAGCTCCACTGAATGATTTGTGCCAACATTATTCAACTCTATTCTGGTGTATCTTTAGAAGCACTTTAAACATTTCATTT